CAGAAGGGATGAACACAGACTGGATACAGAGTGGACATACTGTCCATGGTGCTGAAACCAACATCTCAGGACTCTTCCATGTAGAGGCGAGAATTAAAACTGCATCATGTCTGCAGGCGGACCACAGTCATTTTGATATATGATATTGCTTTTTGTAGACTATACAGGACTTCCTTCCAGTACCATTCCATGGCAGACTATTTATTTTCACCAAATTATGAACTCTATTACTGCTTTCATGTATTCAGCTATATTAACAGGCACTACTCTATCCAGTTTTTGATATACTATGGAAGCATTTTAATGTCAGTTTTTTTTGTTGCTTTCTGTGTCATGTTTGGGAGATCTCACTATTTATACACATGGCAGTTGTCACAGTCGGCAATTTCTAGAGTTTAAAAGCTATGTAGAAAAAAAAAAAAAAAAAAAAAAAAGTTGTTTTTAAGTAAATCTCTTTGTGCCATTTACTATATGCCCAGGAAAAGTCCTTTGCTACAAAAAAAAGGTTTTCAAGTTCTACATTATTTTAATGTCTGCCCTCAAAAACAGGTGTAGGAGAAAAATGTTTCTGTGGAGACACGTGGTAGAGAAAGCTGTCAAAATCTCTTAGATTGTAAGCTCCCAGGATCAGGCCCTCCTATCCCTCTTGTATTGAACTGTATTGTTGCTATATTGCCCCCCTTTATATTGTAAACTGCTGAGCAAACTGTTGGCGCTATATAAATCCTGTATAATAATAAATAATAATGCCTGTATAATAATAAATAATATATAAATCCTGTATAATAATAAATAATAATATATAAATCCTGTATAATAATAAATAATAATATCCTGTAAATCCTGTATAATAATGTATACTAATAAAAGTCTGACAACATCAATGCCAAGTGTTTATACCCGTCACCTGAATACCAACACCCCCAAATAGTCTAAGCAAAAAAAAAACTGGTCTGGGTGGGACTTTCTAGGCATTTCACATGTCGAGAAATAAATCTGTATAAAACATTTTAGTGCATATCATAAAAATATAATAAAAACCGCGTGTCAAGTTGTATATAAATTCTATGATCAAAATATATTGGGTGCAATTATTTTTCCCAACGCATTTCGAAATTGCTTTCTTTCTAAGGGGACATGAGAATTTGTAGCGAAAACCCCAATGATCATCCAAAATACAGCTGTTAAAAAATACCACCGTACTGGAGGATTGCAGGACGGTCCTTCTCCAGTGCACCCAGGATCACCTCCCTCAGCAGAATCAATGGGTTGCTAGTCTACTCATATGATGGCATCTATGTAAAGAGTGATCACCTCAAAGACGTGTAAGCACCAAACCCCCAAAGGAAAAATAGGGAAAAGTCCAAGAGGCCAAGGTTTGCACCACCAGCAAGGAATTACACATTAGTGTACAGGGAGCAGTCCAAAATGGCACCCATTGATTACTGTTCCAGAAGCAGGTCTGATTAAATGTAATCAAGCAACTGGGCTGAATGCATAGCTAAACTCAACAACAGCCAGTGGCTATCTTCCTCCTTAGAACATGCACGTCTAAAGGATGCCCAGGATGTGTTCTTCCACTCTGGATCAAATGGAGCAGCAGCAAGGGCAATATAGTTATACAATCAAATGGAATCTGTATGGTATAAACAGCTGAGTATTAAAAAAGAAAAAAAAAGAAAAAGCTGCTGCAGTTACCGGAATGGACCGAGTATATGCACGTTTTCATAGTACAAAATTTTTTTTAGTAATGCTGACATAGCCTTTTATGTCAGTGATTAACCTCCCTAGCGGTCTGATTATTTCCGATTTTTGGTGCTGAAAGCGGTACCATTATTTTGCATGGAAATATGTAGTTTTTTTTTATTGTAGGCTGTAATTTTTAGGAATAACTCACTGAAATCTGTCCGAACAAGAGTCTAGTAAACATTCCGGGTATCATAAAATTTGAAACACGAAATCATAAATTTTAATTTATTAAATAATCATAAAAAATAATATAATAATAATAATAATACATTTAATTCAATAATATAATCAAACCAAAAACACTGAAATTTGAAATAGAGCGCCAAGTTCGCACATCGCTGAGCAAAGTCGCAAAATCATTTTCAGTGTCTGATGATGAATCTCCCCACGAATCATTATCACTCAATTCTGCAAGTGGTTCTGATTTACTATCGCTGTTCTCTAGCTGGTCTAAAACCGCTTTTGACCTAAAGGGACGCTTTTTGGACGCCATGGACGTTTCTCAGTTTCCAGGCAGAAAGAAACAGATAAAATGCAGGCAGGGCGCAGGACAAAGCACTCGGGACAAAATGTATGTGAAATGGGTTGAAACAGGAATGTTTTACTATGTAAAATTTGCTTGAAAAAAAAATGAAATTTTTTAAAATTTTCAAATTTCCCGCCGCCAGCGCCCGTGCGTCCCAACGTCACAGGGACCAGAACACAGAAGCCGGATGCCGACATCAGCAGGAGGAGATGGCCGGGGACGCTGCAGGGGACACATCGCGGGAGCGAAGGACAAGGTAAGTGCTGCAGGGACTCCCTATGCAACGCCGCATGGTAAGCCCGAGTGTAGCTCGGGGTTACCGCTTTTGGTACTGACATTTTACCCCGAGCTACACTCGGGAATACCGCTAGGGAGGTTAATGTTCTTGATTAATGCTTAATGTCATAAATGTGTTTTTAACTACTACTGTAAAGTAATACCTGTGACTCTGCCATGAATGTCCTTATTCAGGGCCCTTCCTGTCCTGATAACACACTGGGGTTGATTTACCAAAACTGGAGTGTGCAAAATCTGTAGCCGCTCTGCATAGAAACCAATCAGCTGAACAAGCTGAAGTTATAAGCCGATTGGCTACCATGCACAGCTGCACCAGATTTTGCACTCTCCAGTTTTAGTACATTAACCTCACTGTCCCTGTTGCTCTTCTGCATTGTCAGCCATTTACATGAACTTCTGGTGGTGAATGAAAGCAGATGCCCTGACCCATACTGTGCCACCATGTTCCACCATTGTCAACAATTGAGATGCCCACCATGAGCAAAGATATGCATCTGCTGCTAGAGTGTGACGTGGACATTTCCTACTGGCTGTCCAGCAGCAGGCCCCTCTCAGGATCCAGAAAAAAAAAAAAAAAAAAAGTCTCAGCAGTGATGTCAGTGCATGGAGCCATTGGGGATAGGCTTACATGAATACAAGTGTACAATCCAAACGAACACATTCCTGCGTTAAAAATGTCTGTGTGTATAAGTGGGTGCTGCAGCGACTGTCGGCTGGAACCGAACAGAATCAGCAAGGGAAAATGTCACCAGCACACCGAAGATCACCAATACGGGTCCAAAAGTTTTAATGAATGATCACATAGTTACAGCAAGGCAATGTTTCGGAGTCTCGGCATGCCTGATGAAGGGGTCCTGCGAGACTCTGAAACGTTGCCTAGCTGTAACTACGTGAACATTCATTAAAACTTCCAGGCCTACGTGAATACCTCTGCAACACAGATCTGCAGAAATGGCAGTGGCAAGGGAGCCGAACAGTGGAATTTGCCATGAAATGGGCTTTTTTTTGGCCCTAAGGTTTGGAGAATGCAATCCCAATTCAATATTTACTCAGAATTCCAATGTTCTGCAAGTTTTTTCTTATACTTATGGGCACCTGATAATAAAAATTCTAGGGCAAACACCAACATTAACATAAAGACTTCAAGCCCCTAACTGCATCAAGAACACAGATTGTACCTAGTCATCAAGCTTGACATAGCTTCAGAATAAGTGAAATGTGGCTTCTGGGAATCAGTTCTCTTAAATGCCAGTCAGACAAGAGTGAGAAGAGCCTCCCCTCCCCCAGTGCAGGCGATGGGGGCCCGATATAGGAGGATGACAATTGACAGGCCTGACAAAAGCATAAGCGAGTATCAGGACACAAGAGTCTATAGAGCAGAGGAGACACGTGCTCGCTCGTCCTGGAATACTCTACAAAGCTAACCACATTCTTCCATTCTTCTGATGCAAATTCCCTTCTCTCCCTCTGACCTCACTGGAACATTCTGTGCTGGAGCCCCATCTTCTCCAGAGTTCCTGTGTCCGATCCTATTCATATCATTGCATAATAACATTGTGAAATCCCACTGGTATCCTGTATGGCTTTTTTCCCTAACAACCGCAGTTAAGTGCATGGACTGAGACCTTACACAAAAGCATTTGACATGTAAATAAATGGGCAGCTCTGTCCCCCTGGAGGTATTTTTGCTTTTGAATGGAACACAAAAAAAAGGTTTGTTTTTTTTAAATAAATGGCTTTTTCAAAAAGTGGACATGAAATAAAGATAACAGGTCAAGAATCTCTTCAGCCTCACTATAGTTGTGAAGGCTTACCTACAAAAGGATTAGGATCATAGAGAACATTGATCTCTAAAACAAAAAGGTAGGTGGTACACGTGTTTTACAAATCTGTCACCTATGGAAATGGCCTTTTTCACACCATAGGATCTGAATAATTCTATCTTGCACCAGAAATCCTGGTTCCATAGAAACAGCCCTGATGAAGAGGACACTTATTGTCCTGAAACGTGTTGGCTATACACCTCTACCAATAATAAATATATTTGTGATTAAAGGTCAATTTACAACAGCCGCTGCGTTACAATGCAGGTATGTGGTGCGATGCAGACCACTGCAGTGCCGATGTGCCGTGCACTGTTCCTGAACAAGCAAATTCCTCCCATTCAAGTTCCTGAAAGTGGCTGTAAATGTAAAATGGTTGCAGCAGTGACTGATGGCTGGAAACTGAAGTCGTTCAAACAGCGAAGTATGTCACCAGCACACCGAAGATCTCTAGAACAGGTCCAAAGCTTTAATAAGCGATCACATCATAGTTACAAAGCCAACATTTCGAAGCCTCGCAGGAACCCTTCATCAGGTACGTGACGTCACATGCTTGATGAAGGGGTGCTTTGAGGCTTCAAAACGTTGGCTTTGTAACTATGATGCAGGGGCGGACTGACAACTCATGGGGCCCCCGGGCAATAGGGGATCATGGGGCCCCTGTGTCCTTGCCCACACTCAAATCACAGCCAAAAAAGCCTATGAAAGGTACCAGGGGCATCTCATGGGGCCCCCTACTGACCCTGCGCCCTCGAGCAGTGCCCGAGTTCCCAAATGGTCAGTCCGCCCCTGCTATGATGTGATCGCTTATTAAAGCTTTGGACCTCTTCTGGAAATCCTCGATGTGCTGGTGACATTCTTCTCACTGTGCATTGTTCCTGCACTGTTCCAGTGACATTTCATAAAGTTCTATTAGCTACCATGTGAAGCAATGGACTGTACAATACCTGAACTGGAACTGGGCACATAACAGACCAGGCATTTCGCCTTGTCTTCCGGTAGGACTGCTCTGGAAAATCATTGAACACATGGGGGTTTATTTACTAAAGCTGGAGAGTCCAAAATCAGACTCCCTTCTGCATAGAAACCAATCAGCTTCTAACCTCAGCTTGTTCAATGAAGCTTTGGCAATGAAACCTGGAAGCTGATTGGTTTCTATGCAGAAGTGAGTCTGATTTTGGACTCTCCAGCTTTAGTAAATAAACCCCATGGTGTGAATTGGCCCTAACACTGATCGCTAGCCCTCTGTGACTGAGGTTTGCTGGAAATAGGCACTCATATTGATTGTTTCTTCATTCCCCATTTACAGGACAGAAGCATAGGTGGAAGCTCAATACTGCCAGTGTAAACAAAAAACAAAACCTCCTGTGCTCTATGACCGAGAACAACGGTGTATAGATGGATCCGGAACTTGAAGAAGTTCACCACCAAAGCATCAAAGGTTGTGCAGCTCTAAACAAGGCTGGGGATGCCCGACCAATACTGTAGAGCGAAACAAAAAGAGCACCAACTTTGCGCATTACCTCAGTAAAATGTGATTTTATTGAATTTGAAAATATACTCACAAACAGAGAAGAAAAACAAGTGTGTAAAGTCCTTAGCAAGACTTACAGTCAGAGACCAGCGCGGGTCTAACCACGAGGGAAGATTCTCAGAGTCATGCTGTTGTGTTTCAAAGGGAGTCTGAGCTCTGAGGAAGAAGGGACTCCCTTCGAAACGCATCAGCTTCACTCTGAGAATCTTCCCTCGTGGTTAGACTCCCGCTGGTCTCTGACTAAGTCTCGCTAAGGACTTTACACACTTGTTTTACTTCTCTGTTTGTGAGTATATTTTCATATTCAATAAAATCACATTTTACTGAGGTAATGCGCAAGGTTGGTGCGCTTTTTGTTTCACTTTACAGAAGCTCAATACTGTACTGGATCACAACCCACCCAGAGAGCCAGTTCATTTACCTTGTGCTGTCTGACACGCACTACACATTATGGTCATTTAAGATACCAGTTTGGGAAAACCTTGAAATTCACCAATTAGATTTAAAAGAAAATCAAACATAGATTCACTGTATACTTAGAGAAAAATAAATATATATATCTCCTAGATTGTAAGCTCAGAGGATCAGGGCCCTCCTAACCCTCTTGTATTGAACTCTATTGTTGCTGTATTGTCTCCCATTATCTTGTAAAGCGCTGAGCAAACTGTTGGCGCTATATAAATCCTGTATAATAATATATATATAAAATATTGGGACATGGACACAATTCTAACATTTTTGGCTCTATACACCCCCACAATGGATGTGAAATGAAATGAACAAGATGTGCTTTAACTGCAGACTGTGAGCTTTAATTAGAGGGTATTTACATCCAAATCAGGTGAACGGTGTATAGGAATTACAACTGTTTGCATATGTGCCTCCCACTTGTTGAGGGACCAAAAGTAATGGGACAAAATAATAATCATAAATCAAACTTTCACTTTTTAATACTTGGTTGCAAATCCTTTGCAGTCAATTACAGCCTGAAGTCTGGAACGCATAGACATCACCAGACGCTGGTGATGCTCTGCCAGGCCTGTGTGTTATATAATGTATTGCCTCACAGGATCTTCTCTAGTATCTCAATATCCTGGAGGACTTCTAAGATGTTTGAGTATGATAGGATTCCCTATGCTGTGTGAGCTGCCTGCCATCATCTGATGTAAAAAGAGCCAGCGCTGTACGGATGATTGATACGACAGCCAGTTCCATGCAGATTTAGGTGCAGATCTGAAACTATTACTTGCTGCTCCTCCTTACATAACATCTTTAGGTTTACTGATCATTTACAAAAAGATGTATATTTTAGAACAATGAAAGGTTTGTACCCTTAACCTTTAAAATCCCTAGCTGACAGGAAACACTAGATAATATAAATGAACGTTCTGTATGGAGAAAACGATGACATTGCACACATTTTCATGCTAACAACCATTAGGTGCGAATTCAGGATTAGATCAATCATTATCCTGATTGATGATCCTGAAGAATCTGCAGCTGAATTCTAGTGACATCCAGTGGTTCATTCTCAGTTCGATGTCACAGGCTAGTCTGCTCATACACAGGCAGATATTGGCAGAAGATCATCTGCAGCCATAAAGCACAGACTTTCAAAAAGTTTAAAGCCCGACTGCAGCCAGAATTTTTGTCTTTGTTCTGCATAGAGAAGGCATGGCTTACAGCCTCTGCAAGAACTTATTGCTGCCTATTTCCCTGCTGGGTTTAAAGTCAAGACAGGAAGGGATGGGAATATCTGCAATAGTAAAACAGACAAAACCACATTTGTAATGGAGTGGGTAAGACCCCTTTCAGATGGGGTGGACCCGTCCGTGGATCCGCTTGCTCAGCGGGGGATCTCTCCACTGATCCCTGTTGCAAGTGGATGACAGGTCGTGTCCGCACCACTGCTGCAGAGCAGACACAGCCTGCTGTTTTCTGTGGGCGGTTGGATGGAAACTGACTGCCTGTCCTTTTCCACCCAACTGTCATCCGGATTTGATCCGCTGGACGGTGGGGAACGTATACCCATCCATCAGAATTTAGCGTACAGGATCGGATCAGATGCCGCTGACACCCGCCTCTCCATAGAGAGCTTTGGAAGGTCCAATCGGGTTTGCGTGAAAAACTGACAGGCAGAACCAATCAGACAATCAGTATGAAAGGGCCTTAGAATTTCTGTCCAGCTGAGGTTATGAGGCTGTTCCACACCATTTGTATATCCACCCTGTATTGCCCTACACTGGAAATCTCCCATAGTACCACTGGCCTCTGTTCTGCATAGGGTTGATGCTGTGATGCTCATGGAAAGAATTCATTACACTTTACTTGACAAGATGCACTTATTCGATAGAAAATGGGAATTTTGGAGAGCTCATAGACATTTACTACATGATAAGGGAAAACTCATGTTTGGATTGATAGAGTTGCTCTTTTGTTAGTTGTATAACTCTATCTACATTTCTACTTATATTACTCATGTACTTCAATTCTTCTCTCTCTCTTTTCTTCTTCTTTACTCTACATCAGTGGTTCTCAACCTTCCTAATGCCGCGACCCTTTAATACAGTTCCTCGTGTTGTGGTGACCCCCAACCAGGGGCAAAAGGGGATCATGGGGCCCCTGTGCCCTTGCTCAAAAAAGCCTATGAAAAAGGTACCAGGGGCATCTCATGGGGCCCCCCACTGACCCCGGCCCTCAGGCAGTGCCCTAGTTTCCAAATGGTCAGTCCGCCCCTGCCTCCAACCATAAATTTACCCAGTAATTATAATTCATGAAGTGTCGTTTTACCTCCAACACTGCTGCTTTCTACATAGTAGCTGCTTTCTACACAGTAGCTGCTTTTAACAGAGTAGCTGCTTTCAACACAGCATCTGCTTTCTACACAGTAGCTGCTCTTTACACATCGGAAATATGTTTTTCCAATGGTCTTAGGTGACCCCTGTGAAAGGGTTGTTCGACCCCCAAAGGGGTCGCGACCCACAGGTTGAGAACCACTGCTCTACATGATTGTACTTTCTGCAATGTACATTTCAGTGGTGCCTTGTTTCTGTTTTACATACTGTTTGAAGCTGTAATGTCACTATTTTTTTTAAAATAAAATCATTTGTAAACAAAAAAAAAAAAAGAATTTCTGTCCATGCCTTTTTGGCACAGTGAAACCATACACTCAGTTTCTTGTATGGGTGTCATGCGGACAGGATGTGAGGGGAAAATATCCCCTATGAAGGGGTCACAGAAATAAAAACGTGACATGTATGTCTTCCCTACCCTATTCAAAACTAAAGAATATTTGGAGTTAGGCTTTTAAAATTATTTACAGGGAAAGGGATAGAGAAATGATGTACAGAAAGTGAGAGAACCACACGAGTCATGAAGGGCATGTTCACACAGATGGCCAGGAAACAGAAAAGGCCAAAGTTTTACTGCCCCCTGAACATCCACGTAAAGGCAAAGTTCGCCTTTTAAAAAAAATAATACATACAAAAATTGTGCATTTATTATTTTTTTCTGGAGCCTGCAGGGCATTGCAACTGAAACCAGCAGATTATGAGTGCAATGTCAGGCTCCTGCAGAATCTCAGCCAGCTGTATGCCTGTATCTCTCAGACAGGCAAACAGTTACTGGAGAGCAGGAAGATCATTGAACCAGCGCCCTCACAGTTCATTGAGAACTACAAGCCATCTGATGCAATGACACAGCCACGTGGGCTGAGCCCAGCAAATTGTGACAGCGTGTGTGGAAAGAAGAACCCCACCCATTGTCACAGGAAGGGATAGGAGGGGCGCAGGCAGGTGGTGCTTTGGTTACATATTACATCCTAAATACGGGTGTAATATGTAATGTTACCAAAAGGCAAACATATTCTTTAACCACTTCCTGACCGCGCTATAGACAAATGAAGGCTACAGTGCGGTCGTCCAGTTCTGGGAGGGTGTCATATGATGCCGTCCCAGAACTGCACCCCACGTGCGCCCCCCAGTGGCGCACACCCATTGCTCTCTGTGATCGCTGTGTCCTTTGGACACAGCTGATCACATGACACGGTAAAGGGCTAATCACAGCGGCCTTTTTACTACGTGATCAGCTGTGTCCAGTCACAGCTGATCACACTTGCTGCTTATTGGCAGTACTTTCCTCATGTTTTTACATATGTTGCATGACCGCACAATTGTCATTCAAAGTGCAACAGTGCTGAAAACTAAAGGG